GTTTTTCCAACTGATAATTTGTGTTAGGTAATTCTTGATCTCTATTTTCTACTCCAGCAACAAATCAGTATTCGGCAGCTCTTCACTATTACCTTCAGGCCGGAGCTGTGTGTTCTGATTTCTTTAATAAAGCTGTACCCCCTGATGTTTATACAGACCAGGTAGGTTGTTTATTGGCTTTTCTTCTTGTCTGCCTTTAAATGCTCTTCCTGGGTTCCTTTTGGGTGAGTTTTCATTTCCATGTTTGTTGTCATGACTCCCAAATTGATTGCTTTAGATCAGATTGCTGTCCAATATTAAAAATTTTCAGTAACTTTTTAAAATTAATAAATTGTTTTTTAGAACAGTTTCATTTCTTTTTTTAATTTTATAAAAAATATACTTTTATTGATTTCAGAGAGGAAGGGAGAGGGGAGAGAGAGTAGAAACATCAATGATGAGAGAGAATCACTGATTGGCTGCCTCCTGCACGCCCCCGACTGGGGATTGAGCCCTCAACCCGGGCATGTGCCCTTGACCGGAATTGAACCTGGGACCCTTCAGTCTGCAGGCCGACTCTCTATCCACTGAGCCAAAATGGCTAGGGCTAGAATAGTTTTAGATTCATAGCAGATGGAGAAAAAATTAGAGTTCTCATATACCTGCTTTGTATCAGCTATCACATATATCTTAGTAAATGTTCCCTGTATACTTTAAAAAACAAATGTGTATTCTGCTGTGGTTGGGAGTTTTGTAAAAATGTACAACCTCCACTCGTGTACAAACTCTCCCACTGTTGACATCCCATATCAGAACAGTACATTGTTATAATTGATGTTAGTTTCTTAAAATAATCCAAATTGTTTTTATAGGTAATAAAAAGAATGATAAAGTGTTGTTCTTTGCTGAATTGCCACACACAGGTTAGTTTAATATTTTGATGTTGGTTTATTTTCCTGTATATTAGAGTTTATAGTAAATATAAAGCATTGGACTGGGAAATAGCTTTTATTTTCCTTACTATTGCTTAAGTTTATGGTATTTAAGAATTTGGCATATTTAAGTTTTTTTTAGTTCTTTATAGCAGCCGTTGCCAACCTTTCGGACCTTACAGACCACCAGTGGTCCATGGACCACGGTTGGCGACCGCTGCTCCAAAGGTTTCCTTAAACCAGCGGTCGCCAACCTTTCGGACCTCAGGGACCACCGGTTGGCAACCGCTGCTTTATAGAATTTATTTAAAATGAAAGAAGATTGTTCTTTAAGCCTCCTACGTGGGAAATAAACATTCTCAAGTGTGTTTTCTTATATTTAAGAGTAGATATGTACATTAGTTATTAGGAAAATGCAGATCAATACTATATTAAGGTACCACTTCATACTCACTAATATGGCCGTTAATTCAAAGAAAGAAACAATTGTTGGTAAAGATGTGGAGAAATTATGCTGGTAGGAATATAAAACGGGGCAACCTTTTGGAAAAAGCTTGGCATTTCCTCAAAAAATTAAAAGTATAATTACCATATGACCCAGCACTTCCTTTCCTGTATATGACCAAGAAAATAGAAAACATGTTCACAGAAAAGTTTGTACATGTATGTTCACAGCAGCATTATTTATAGTAGCCAGAACGTTGGAAACAACCCAGTGTTTGTTAGCTGATGAATGGATAAACAAAATTTGATGTCTATACAATGGCATATTATTCTGTCATAAAAAAGGATGATGTACTGATACATGCTAAAACAGGGATGCATCTTACAAGTATTATGTTGAGTGAAAAAAGTCAGCTACAAAAGGCTGTTGTATAATTCCATCAATATGAAATGTTTAGCCAGAGGCACATCCATACAGTCAGAATATAGAGTAGTGGTTGTCAAGGACGGGGCGGGGGGGGGGGACGGGGGGACGAGGAATGGAGAGTGATGTCAATGGGTATGGAGTTTTTGCAGGGGGAGAGGATGGGAAGGAGACTGGAAGGGAGGATATTTGATACTTGTGATGTTGCTCGACTTTGTAAATATACTAAAAACCATTGAATTGTGCACTCTAAAAGGGTGAATTTCATGGTATATGAATTATATTTTTTAAAATTAAAAATACTTTAAAAAGAATTATTATGACCTACATACTTGATTGAAGTGAATCTGCTTTAGGTTAAGCAGATTGGCAGCCTAAATTTTGCCAAAATGAGCTCTGTGTTTGCCATCTGTCAAGGTTTAAGCATGTTCTTATGTCCTTGAATGTCATGAAAATGTTGTTTGGCAGTTTTCCATTCCCTTCAATTTTTTTATCTGGCTTTTTACCAGTTTCTCATTCAAATAAACCCCTAAAAACTATAGATGAAGAAAATACTGGGCAGACAGTTGTTTGTATAAAGGTTTTTGCAATTGAAATTGGATGGAATCCATCATGAGCTAATCCCTCAGGGTGAACTGCAAGGCCTCTTAAATGATATATTCTTGATAGAAGAATCATTACAAATTTCCCCTTTAAAACCAGGAATTATTGTTCACACTAGTTACCTTAAACCATTTTCAAATCCTTATTTGTTCATGTAGGTGGCAATTTTATGTCAGTTCCTCAGAGAAATTGACTACAAAACAGCCTTTAAATCACTGCAGGAACAAAACAGGTATGCATGATTTAAAAAAAAAATAACGTTGCAATTTTTCTGCTTAAGAGGAAGTAACTGAATTCTGTCTTTTCAGTCATGATGCTATGGACTCCTACTATGACTACATATGGGATGTTACCATTTTGGAATACTTGACTTGTATCCTTTCATCTAATATCACATGTGATATTAGTACAGTTCATTTCTGTACATTAAACAAGTATTTAATAGTGTGTATCTTCTAAACCAAACCTAAAAAAGTTGAGATTCTGTTGTGGTTTTTAATAGTATTAGATTTATTATTCTTAACTGACTCATTTAGATCTTCATCACAAAAGAGGAGAAACAGATAAAAGACAAATTGCGGTAAGTTATTTTGTGTCTTGCTTCAGTAATATACTTAAGAATTGTACCAACAAAAAGATTTTGTGTGCCTATTCTAAAAGTTGATTATTAGTGTTTTTTTAGAAGATCCTATTTTGATCATGAGCTTTTGCATCTAGTTTATTTCATATTAAAATATTAGATCATGTCATCTCTCTACTCTAGACCTTTAAATGGTTTCTTATCTCACACATTGTTTAAGTCCATACAGTGGCCTATGAAGCCACATATGATTTGCCCATCTAACCCCCACCTTGCTATAACTTCTACTGTACCAGTAAGTAGTTTTATGTGTGTATATGTTAGGAAGACTTTATTTTTTACCAAACCTCTAATAACCTCACTTTTCTGTTTTGGAAGATCAAAGCCATTGGTCAGACAGAATTGAATGCAAGCAACCCAGAAGAAGTATTACAGCTGGCAGCGCAGAGGAGGAAAAAAAAGTTTCTACAAGCAATGGCAAAACTTTACTTTTGAGCAGTTAAAATTTTTTAACTTTTATTTTTTAAACAATAGGCTAAATATAAACAGTATTAAAAGATGAAGTTTATATATAATACATATATACACGTTTAGTGGTGTTTTCTTTCCAGACAAAAATACTGAAACAATTTAAAAACAAACTATACAGAAGATTTCATGCCATAATAGCTTAAATTTATAATTTCTTCAGAGAAGAGATTCACATGTCTAGTAACAATAAACAATCTACTATAATTTGTTTTCTAATTAAATCCACTTTTGATGCTGAAATTTCATTTTTTCAAAAACATTTATGTAGAATTAGTCTATATACCACCTTCTTATGTGAAGTTTACTTGTTTGTTTTTTAAATAAATAGATCACTAGGAATTGGTATACATTTAATACTTTTCTGCCTTAATAGAAGTCTAGGTCAGGTGTTAAGCTTGATCACTTTGACACTGTCCTTAACTCATGTAGGAATTTAAAAAGGACCTTAGCAGTTTTGCAAATGGAAATAAAGCCTTAGTCACACTAAATTAAAAAAAAAAAATCCTTAGGGATACCTTAGAGCAGCGGTCGCCAACCGGTGGCCCGTGAGGTCCAAGAGATTGGCGACCACTGCCTTAGAATAATAAAGTGTCTTTCTCATATAAATAGTTTGAAAGGGTACTTAAGTTTTTTCACTCAAATTGTGATGTACAAAAAAGTTACTATAAAGCAACCTGTATGTCGAAGCCCCAAGTAGGAGCCACAGCATTTACATTGTTTATAATTTCTTTGGTATTCCCACTGTTTAGAGCGCAGTTTTAAACACCATGTTCTTAGCCTTACTGGTTAAAAATGTTATGTATGGCAAGGCAAATAAACTAGTTAAAAAAACATTTTAAAGTTCACCATTTATAAAAATTCAAGTTTTATAATAGCTCGCTACAGCAGCTATAAATAAATTAGTCACCTTATTACAAAACTAAACCTTTGTAAACATACTTAATTTTATTTTCAAGAACCAAATTGCACTAAGCAAGGATATATAAATTTTGAGAATCTAAAAACTAGATTCAAAGTACTGTATCACTTAATGTACTCTTTAAGGTAGCACTTACCTAGTCTAAGATTTTAATGATAAAATTCCTAGTCCATCAAAATAGTAACACTGGATCAGAAAAATTTTATGGCATAAATTGTGGCTGGCTTCTAGCAGTCACCTTGGGAATTAACTTTTTGTAAACAAGGCCTGCTGTTTCTTTAAACAGCTGACAATGAAATACATTTCTTAGTGCCAATTTTACATAGTTTTTTAAGTCAAAGAATGGCATTGAAATTTCTGAATTGGCTAGGGTAGTCCTGGCACTATTTTCCTGTAAAACTTTAGTACATTTTAACACATTGTATGCGGGAAACGTATTCATACGTTTTACGTTGACTGTAAGTAGTAGAGCCACCTGTTACTACCCGCAAACAATTTAATGACATTTTACCCAAAACTCAGTGAATACTTGTCAGCTTAGTTATCTTCCTTAGTGTTTTCCTGATGGTTTTTCTGTGCTCTTCGGTGGTGTCATGATGCCTCCATTGCACACTGGTGACAGTTGTCCCCCATTCCTGAGGGTGTTTACGTAATTGACTTCCTCCTGCACATGTGAAGAAATGCAGAGATTAGCAGCTAAGGTAAAGTACTGACATAGTAAAATAAAGTCAAACCAGATTTCTGGATACTAAATTGAGGCTGCTTAGGCCTAATATAATGGTCTTTTTTTTCCTCCCGTTATGGAAAATATAGATACAAATAGATAATAGATGCAAAGAGGTATATATAAAGGAAATGAGCATGTCTTTTTAAATTTTAATTGTTTTATTTTTACTTTTAAAAAAGCTTTATTATTGAAAGTATTACATATGACCCCCTTGCTCCCCACAGCAGGCCTTCACTACCCTATTGTCTGTGTCTATGGGTTATGCACATATGAGTTAACTGGTTCATCTCTTTCCCCCCACTCTCCCCTGCCTTCCCTCTGAGGTTTGATAGTCTGTTGGATGCTTCTATGTCTCTGGGTCTATTTACAATGGTGTATTTTATGTCTTTGCAATTTGGTCACAGTCTAAGGTTCAGCAATTTGAACTGCTGTAACTATTTTTTTAAACTCAAAGTAGACTATTGGCACTGATCTTAAGAAACTTCACAAATCTTGCTTTGACTTCAAAGTTACTAATTCTTCTACATTTTGAAATCACTGTGCCCATTAGAACTTTCTATTCCTTTATTCTGTATCATCCTTACTGTCATAGTTTTAGTGACTTTTACTAGATAATAAGACCAAAAAACCCCACGAGAAACATACCAGCATAGGCAGGTAATTTGTGTGTGTCTGGATATTGTGTCTGTCTTCCATAGAAATCTTGTTAAACATCTTCAGCTTCACTGGACTAGTACTTTTTACTACACTGGCAAAGGGCACCATCCACTCTACACATTCAGAAATGCTTTCCCATTCCAAACCTAGGAAGAGAAAAGTTAGCAAAATGTAAGGTTACATCAGAAAGTATCTAATATATGCCTAATGAATTTGTTCCTGCTTCCAAATTGAAGGATAGCTATATTAAAACTCATTTTAAAAAAGAAGCCAAAATCAGTAAGTTTTAGCAAGTCAAAGCAGATTATGACTCTCAAACTGTGACTATTTTGAGGAAAAAGACTTCAAGCTTCTTAACCAGTACCTTCTGCATAGGAAATTAAAATGACCAAAACCCAAAGAACTCTTAAAGCAGAACTATAATCATGATTAACTTCAAATGGATTTAAATTCCATTTGACCTTATTGTTGTTTGTGGATAGACACTGAGGATTAGAACTAGCAGAAAGGAAGGTAATCACTACACTGCTAAAATTTTTCCATTAAAATTTTAAGTTTCTGTTTAGCAGCATGCTAGAGTTCATAAATTAATAGTCTCTTTAAAAGTTGTGAACAGATAAGAAGGTAAAATAATGACTTACCTGAGGCTTTCTTAACGACTTCAATAGAGGTAAAATGGCACAAGGCGGCAGCAGCCAGTACTCTGTACTGGAACTCTAATGAATCAATGGCTAGAATACACAGATCTAAAAGCTGACAAAGGGAAAAGCAAAAGTACAAAGTATTTAGGAGACATAAAATATCAAAACTCAGTAACACTGTTTTGAATACACAGTACCTATTTTACACACTATGAGAAGTAGACAGGAAGGAATGGTACTCTCCTTTAGTTACTTCGTTAGAACATCTCTTATATGCTGGTCTAGGAACATTTAGTTGGAACTTAAATTTTTAAAAAATGTAACTAAGGTGATTTTAATTCTAACATGTAAAATAGGTTCCCTGTGTATTCAAATATAAAAGATAATCATATAGAACAGTGGGTCTCAACCTTCCTAATGCCGCGACCCTTTAATACAGTTCATGTTGTGGTGACCCCCAACCATAAAATTATTTTCGTTGCTACTTCATAACTAATTTTGCTACTGTTATGAATCGTAATGTAAATATCTGATATGCAGGATGTATTTTCTTTTTCTTTTTTTAAATATATTTTATTGACTTTTTACAGAGAGGAAGGGAGAGGGATAGAGAGTTAGAAACATCGATCAGCTGCCTCCTGCACACTCCCCACTGGGGATGTGCCCGAAACCAAGGTACATGCCCTTGACGGGAATCGAACCTGGGACCCTTCAGTCCGCAGACCGATGCTCTATCCACTGAGCCAAACCAGTTAGGGCAGGATGTATTTTCATTGTTACAAATTGAACATAATTAAAGCATAGTGATTAATCACAAAAACAATATGTAATTATATATGTGTTTTCCGATGGTCTTAGGTGACCCCTGTGAAAGGGTCATTCGACCCCCAAAGGGGTCTCGACCCACAGGTTGAGAACCGCTTATATAGAATAATTTCATACATTATAAAGCCTGGAGACAACGGGCTTAAAAATACCATTCCCCATTTTATATAAAAAAGACATCTATTTTAGGCTCCTAAAGAATGAAAAGTATTCATATTTAAACTCATAGTTTACAAACTTGTTTTCTAGAATTATTAAGCAGCATAAATCCTGGGGACAGAATTTTATGCAACACAAGTTTTGTTCCAGTCAGCTAAGGAGTGAATTTAATCCAGTATGCTGTCCTTTGTTGGATAGCCTATTTATGACTATAAATACACGGAAGGCCCTGGCCGCTGGCTCCGCTGAAGTGTCATCCCAATGCGCCAGGGCTGTGCTGGTTCGATTCCTGGTTGGGGCACATGCAGGAGTCAACCCAAAGTGGAACAACTAATTGATATTTCTCTCTTTCAAATCAATCAATTTTTTAAAAAGCTAAACAAAACCTGTAATTAACATTAGCATATATTCAATAACAATGTCAATACCTGAGCTATCTGAATGAACTTTTCCTGAGAATACTGAGGTAGAAGAACTTTAGGAGCATCTTTAAGAGCATCAACTTGAAGGAAGAGATTGAGCCAGGAGATGACTGTTACGGGACAAAGTTCCCATTTTAAAGCCTGTTAAATGAAATTAAAATGCCCGTTAATAAATGTAGGTACATAGATACCACATTGTATAGCTACTTTCTAAGATAGCCATTTAAGAAACTTTTATGTTTTTAGGTTCATTTTTTTCCTGGAGTTTTATTATTCTGACCCCTTTTATTTTTATTCAAGATATTTATAGATACCTCACAATCTAAAGCTGCTTGTGTGTTGTAATCTATTATTGACGTAGACTCTTTTATTCTCAGTTGTCTTTATTTACAAAGTTCATTCAGCCTATTTTTCATTACTGCTTTTCTCATTTCTTGTAGTCACTGGTCTTCCAAATTTGTTCTCTACTTCATTAAAACTACTCTTTTAATTGTATTCAGTGACTCCACAACGAATTCCATTTAGATCATCTAAGAATTGATTCTAGACTTCTTATTCCTATAATCTCCAATGACATCTTTCTCTCCGTGAAGCCCTGAGACTTTACCATTTATAAAAAGTCCAAAATAATTAGGAGAAAGCAGAGGGCCTTAACACCTGTGGAACTGCCCAGAGAATGCCATCTTCCCTCTACATCCTCTTTGTACTACAAGTCTGAATCTGGATAATTTTATTATTAAAACAGTATCAACATGTCAACAAGATCCCATTCTAACAGAGCTACCCGAATGTTTAGTTTGTAAACCTAACTTATGATGATTTGTAAATGAAAGTCATATTGATTAGGTTTTCTTGTATATCCTATTAATAAACCCATGATGTCCAAATTTAAAAACATACTTTCTAGTAGTTTATATTCACTCTTTAATCTCTCATTGAAGGCCTAATTAAATACTTTTATGCTTCTCTTCTCCATTTTTCTATTAATAGCCCTTTCTCTGCATATAGAAAAAAAGGCAGTGAAATAATTCTATTTTCTGTCTGCTGGAAGAAGGGGAAAATGACTAAGGTCTGGGAATCATTGTTGAAATTCATTTATATATATTATATGCTAACTACTAACTATATGTTTTGAAAATATCCATAATTACTTAAATTAAGAAAAAAGTATATTCTCAATATAGAAACTTGAAAGATACAGAAAAATAGAAATGAATAGGTTAAGCAAATTCCTCTTTCATCCATAACATTGTCAATATTTTGCATTAGCCTCTTAGAACTGGATCCTAATACTAAAACCTCAGTTTTGATTACTTACATTGTAGTATTTGAGATTCAATAGTAATTACTGTTATTAAATTGCAACTAGAATAATAAAAGATATAATTATTACCTTTAATATAATGAGTTCCATCCTTAAGATATCCTCTTCACTGCAAGCACCATCAGTGACATAAGCAAACTCTTGGAGCTTAGGAGCATAGATTTCCTTTAAAATGGATTTTAAAATTAGTGTTAAGCACAGTTGAGATTGAGGTAAGAACAAAAGAATTATATACAAACTACCTACCGGCTTCATTATATATATATATATATATATATATATATATATATATATATAATAGATTTCAGAGAGGAAAGGAGATGGGGGGGGGGGGTAGAGGAACATCAATGATGAGAATCGTCGATTGGCTGCCTCCTCCCACACTGGGGATTGAGCCCGCAACCCAGGCATGTGCCCTTGACCAGAATCAAACCTGGGACCCTTCAGTTCATAGGCCGACACTATTCACTGAGCCAAGCCAGCTAGAGCCAGGCTTTACTTTTAGGGACAGGTTCACAAAGGAAAATAAATCTTAGTAAAATAATTCTACAGTAGCCAAAGCAACCGTACATTTAAAGGTATCTTTCATATCTAGGTCTAAATTAGCCAACTATATTAAATGAGACTTATTTTCATGGAATTGATCTTGAATTGCAGTTAATAAACATCAGTATTTTAAACAGATTTCAGTTAAAACACAAAAAGCCACTCTTGTTTTAAGATTGCCTACTACATTGGTCAGAATAAAACAAAACACTTAACCAGTGAGTTCTAGAAACTGAAAACATCTCCTTCACACTAATACAAAAGGATGGTTTGTGTAGTTTGGCTGATGACAGGTCTGCTTTAACAGTCCAGAGAACTAGGATGGTCAAATGAGCAGAAAAGATGCCTGCCACAGATGAGAACAGGCTAAATGTGAAGATTTCAGTCTAGAAAGATATTTGAAACAAAGTATTTCAGTTCAGAATCGACTGAATACAAACTTAGTCACCAAATTTGGCAGAATCTGGAGATATCTCTTAAAGCTCAAAAGGCAAATTTGGAAGAAAAAAATACACTTATGGAAATCAATGCATGATTTAGTCCTCCAAACACAGGCTTCAAAGATTTCAGATGAAGGTACTAATGATACTCATATTCATATTGAGATTGTGTGAAGGAAAATCTCAAGCAGGAAAGGAGTTGCCTTCTATCCTGGCACCACCATCAGATACAAAAATATTATTTTAACCCAAAAAAGCATTTCATTTGATTGGTTAATCAGTTTTTAAAGACCATTCTATTGGGTCCAAGTGCCATAATTCTGTATATAGGGACAGCATCAGTGTATTCTGTTTGGCAGAATGAGCCATGGAACATTTGACCTAGATACTAATTCCAGAATTTAAACCGGAAACTTATAATAGGCTTGGATACTAAAAGGGAACTATAATATTTATCTAAATCATAATGTTCAGAAAATATGGAAAAACCCACTCGTCTTCCCTAAGGAGTTAATATCAAAGTAGTGTTTCTGGAATTGATGTGTTGATTTTAAAACCTGGGTTGGTAAATATGTCTCTGAATAAACTTTGAGAACTTACCTCAAGTTTGGAAGCAATGAATAATGAGGTAATTCCGATGAGTTGGAGCATATTTTTATTTATATCCTTTTGTGTCAACATAAATCTATCAAAAAAGTCTTGCGCAAGGTAAAATGTTTCCCTATGCAGTGTGTATACTTCACATACCTAGACAAGAACCCCAAGGTTTAAATATTACTCCATGAATTTCTCCAAATTAGAAAGTTGTGTCTTAGCATACCTTACAATACTTTTATAAACCCAACTTTGCTTTTTAGGATACCAAAGTTAAGATTGGGGAGAAAAATAACATGCAGTGATAGGATAAACAAATCTGTTGTCTGCATTTACTCGTATTTTATAGTTTTTTTTTCATACGAACTTAAAAAATGTATTTATTCCCAGATACATTTTATTTTTACTATGAATGAGAACTTTTTTCTATTAATTTCCTAATTGTTTATTGCTGACAGATAGGTAAATTTTCATGCTTAGTTTATATTCTTATCCTAATAGTTCCAACTGATTCTCTTCTCACTTTAGATTAAATGACAATGGTGTTCCTTTCAATGTTTTTATGTCATTTATTTTTCATGTGTTACTGTACTGGCTAAAATTGTAGAAGAAAACTGAATGAATAACATTGGTGCTAAACTCTTATATATCTTGTTTAGGACTGTAATGGGAATTCCCCCGTTTCATTATCGTTGTTAATAATAGTATCTGTCGTTTCCACATTTATCAGAGGGGAAGCTTTTAATTCCCAAACTCCATGATGTAGGGGCCATTACCCCCATTTTGAAGATAAGAAAACAGAGGGATAGAGGTTCTGATAAACTGTGTTAAGGAAATTTATTACTGGTTTACTACATGTCTTAAAATCAGATATGGATACTGAATTTCAAAAAATATCTTCCACATATAGTGAGATCTTATGATTTAAACTAGGTAATAAATAGGTTAAGGTAATAAATAGCTTTTTAAATGCTGAAACATCTTTCAAATAATGAAACGATATAAGGTTGGGCAAAAGTAGGTTTACAGTTGTGACTATTCAATAGTTTATTATTTTCCATATGAACAACTCTAAACCTACTTTTGCCCCACCCTGTATACTAAGACAAAGTAGAATTAACAGTTGGATTTGTCTTAATATATTCTGTACAGTTTTGCATACATAATCATATATTTAAGGGAAAACAGGAATACATTTGATAATCACTAGATGAAAATCAATGAAATGTAAAAAAGAAAATAAAGCAAAACCAACATAATTGTGCTTAAATTGCTTTCATGATCACAAGACACTTAGAAAAAATAAAAACCCAACCACCTTATAACCACATGATTAAAATACAATCTTCCTTTCTAGTCAGAATAAGGAATTAAGATAACCTGACTCGAACATTTTGTAGTCTTAAAGACTTTTCTGAATAGCTTCTGGCAGATCTACTCTGCCAAGTGCTACTCCACCAAAAAGGCTATAGTTTTCTCCCTTAGAATATATCATTTCTATCTACTTTAATAGGGAAGCTACAGAGCAATAATCAGTTTGTCTTCAATGTAAGTAATCATTTCCTCAGTAGTAGCGAGTGGGCTTAAACAGTTAGTTCCGGCACACATCTGTAGGGGCTTCAGGATCACTCATTCCTTTAGATTAAAGGCACAACACTGCACAGCAGAATTCAAAACCTTGTCAACTATATATTCTATTCATCTTGAATACCCTCAGCACCTTGAACGGCGTCCGGTACACAGCAATACCCTGATATCAAGAATTCTGAATTGGGTTTGGGTTGTGTGAGATGTAGTGGCTGTGTCCTCATGATCTTACTCTTACAGACATTTTCCATTTCGGTACTATCAACTACAGTAAGTACCCCCAAACAAGGTGGCTGCTGGCAATGGATAATACACCATGAGGGCACATGAAAAGCACATTTACGTCTATTTTCCATCATAAAGAGAAGGGAAATTTGTATTGCTGGAACATACCTCTAAAAGCCAGTCTAGAAGTATTGACCTCATTTGTGGTTCCAAGTCAGAATGCAGAACTTCAAAATGTTTGTCATGTACATATCGGGTCTCTTTCTTTAACATGTTTAGCCAAACATCATTTGAACATCCCCAGCTATGGAAAAAGGGTAAAAAGAAATAATTGTGTGGTTTACATAATATACAAGTTATGTTTTACATAGGAAAAAATTCAACTTTAAGACACTGAAATCCAACTTTCAATTTAGAACTTGATAGGAGCTACTCTTAAGGTAGTATCTACCTTTTAGCATGAAAAAGTAGAAACCTGAAATTATGCAGCAAAAACCTGGATTATGATAATCTAAATTGATGGGAACAAAAAAACATTCTTTTGAAATCTATTATAATATTCCTGTTTAAGATAGCCATGTTCTCTCAAGAGCAATACTAAAAAGGCAAATATTTAAAGCTTATGATCCCAGTAGAGACAAGTGTCAATCACCTCCAACTAGTTCACCAATAGTAGAGTCACCTACAGTGACTCTAAATTACTAGAGGTTTTGTATAAGCTGTACTTACTAGTCCTGTTCATTAACTAGAAAAAAATATAGACCTTACTAAGCTTGGTAAGAAATAGATGGGATTGATATATCAAATGATACATGTTAAAATGTTTCCATCTTAACAATTTAGATAAATTCTTTAAACTCCATTAAGAAGGTAATTCGGGCCCTAACCGGTTTGGCTCAGTGGATAGAGCATCGCCCTGCGGACTCAAGGGTCCCAGGTTCGATTCCGGTCAAGGGCATGTACCTTGGTTGTGGGCACATCCCCAGTGGGGAGTGTGCAGGAGGCAGCTGATTGATGTTTCTCTCTCATTGATGTTTCTAACTCTCTATCCCTCTCCCTTCCTCTCTGTAAAATATCAATAAAATATATTAAAAAAAAAAAAGGTAATTCGGTTCTGATAAGGCTTACAGTACTCAGCAAGCAAATGAAAATAACTATAGAATCAATGTTTAAAATTCCTCTA